GTGAGTGCTCCGTAAGTGCTTGTGGTGGTGGTTTAAAAAATTCCATCTCTAACTTCAACTTTTTTTTTTTTTTTTTTACCTCCTGCTTGCCTCTTCCTTCTCCTGTATCCCAACTGCTGGTTCCTAAACGGTTCCCGCTGTTCTCCAGGTTCAAGTTTCTTTTGCCAGCCTGGATGGTTCTCTCTTTAAATGATGCAAGTACCCCAAACAAAAAGTTCTTGCTTCCTTCGTGGAGCATCGTAACCCTCTCCAGGAACTGATATCTAGGTCTTCACAATTGTTTGCCTGTTTCCTACCAGGTTCCTATTCATTTTTCCAAAGTAGCTGTTCCAACCCTTTCCACTCCCTTAGGTGTCCACACTGCACTTATAATTATTCAATTAATTATTTTAAATATTGCTTAATATCTGTTACAGTATACTAGCTTGTGAGTTCTGTGAGGTGGTGACTATCTGACTTATTCATACCATTTTCCCCAAACCTAGCACGTGGAGGCAGACCACCTGTGTAGGGACTTCACTCCACATTAATGCAGAAGACCAAGGCTGTTGAACTTGATGCATCTCAAATATGTCCCTTCTCTGACCATTCCTCTCTATCTTCATCCACCTCCCTCTCTATCACTAATTCTGACTTTAGGGAAGTCAAGTTCTTCAATTTCTTCTTGGTCCCTTTTCTTCTCTAGAATTTCCCTTTATCTGACACTATTCTTTTGCCTATTTAATCTCTTTCTTGCCTTGCTCTTTCCCTCTGCCTGCAAACACATCTGGAAAGATCTTGCTTTGGAGTCATATGGACCTGGTAGGGAAACTTGGCTCTTCTTGCTAGCTGTGTAACTGGGAAATTTATTCCACTTCTGTAAGCTTTAGTTTCTTCCTATGGAAAATGAGAGTGATGCTGTCTATGGATCAGCACTGTTGTGAAAAGAAATTGAGCTGGTGTTTGTAAAATCTCCAGCAAAAAGCATGGTATATGGTAAGTAAATAGAACTCCCTGTCTCCAATCCTAAATAAATAAATAAAAATAAAGCCCTACTGTCCCTAGGTTCCACCACCTTCTCCAGCTAATATCAGATAGGAACTCCTTCAATTTCCTGCACCAAAACTAGAAACTTCCCTGCATCCACGTGTGGCCTTTTCTCTCTCTCTCTCCGTCATAATTCTGTTCTCAGTTCTATTTCTTCTACCTTCCTAGAGGCAACATTTTATCAATTAAACTCTTTCTTTCCTTTCACTTCAATTCCTCCTGCTCAACAAGTCTTTTCTGACCAGATCAATATTTAAATATACCCAAGGCTTTCTTACAATAACCCCAGAACACACACACACACACACACACACACACACACACACACACACACTCCACATTTCTTTCCTGACCTCCTGGTCCTTCCAGCTATGCTGTCTGATCTCTCTACTCCCTTTCTTGCAGGAGACGTTGGAATTTACTCTTTCTACTTTCTCCCTCTCCTTCACCACTCTTTTTACCACAATGTGGCTAGGGCCTCCATCACACCACTAAAACTCTTCCTGCCAATGGTTGTTGAATCTTGTCACTGAATCTAATGACCACTTCTCAGACTGTATATAGCTTGACCTCTGGGGAGCACTGGACACAGTGGCTACTTCCTCCTTCCTGAAATGTTCGCTTCCCGGCCTTTTGGAGTGCTGTGTTATCCTTCCATCTCTCCGGCTCTTTCACAGGCCTCTCCGTGTATGTCTAGCCTATAAGTAGGCTCAATGATTTTAGCATTATGATCATTATTATTATTAAACACTAGTCTGATTAAACTATCTCTGGTTAATCAAATAAACTTTAATTCTAGGCCTTTGCTTGTGTGGTTCCCCGTCCTGCAATTCTCTTCTCCATCTTCCCCTTGCTTCTTCCACTTAGCTTTCTTCTCCTCAACTTCACATCTCAGCTTAGAAGCTTCTTCCTCCCGCAAGTCATCCCTTTCCTCCTCAGGTCTGGCTCAGGCACCCGCCCTGGGTGCTTGCACAGCAACCTACGCTTTCCCTATCTTCTCACTCATCACATATACCATAATTACCATAATTACGTTTTCTTGGCTCAAATTGCTCTTTCACTGCAAGTTCTGTGAGAGCTCAATTGTGCCTGTTTTTTTTATGCCCAGGTGCCTAGCAGAATGCCTGGATTGCATAATGGGTTAATGAATGAACGAATGGAGATGGCATTATTGCTGTGTTGGTTTGGGAGTTAGTGTACTTGTATTTTTTTAATGCTACGTATTATTACTTGTGTGACTCAGTAAAGCCACTTCTCTAAGCACCAGTTTCCTCATCTATCAAATGGGAAGAAGTAAAGCAATATTCTTGAGAGCATTTTGCAGGTATTATTTCTTTTAATCCACACAAAGACCCAACAAAGCTGAGACTTAGATGAAATGAGATAATGTCTGTACCTTGTGTAGCACGAGGCCAGACAGTCTCCTGAGCAGGGTTACCTTCACCAGTACCACTGAGGAAGGCAGGAAGGTAATTTTCTTTATCCATAACCAGATTCAGCTTGCTCACAAGCACTTGGTTTTGCTTGATGAAAAGCAAAAGAAGATCTAATACAAAGAACAAACTTAAATTTTCCCATTCAAGGAATTCAGTCTCTTCTGGTTTAAAAACAACAGGCTCTTCTGAGCCACTTTGCATTTGCTCTTTTAGACAAATGTGCTGTGTTTTAGGGTCCTGCTCTGACAGTTTGCTTCCCATACCCCAACTACAGTGGAAAGGCAGCAGGGGAGGGCGTCTGGCCTGTGGTCCTCGTGTTCTGCCTGTGTCCACTGATAGTGTCCATGGCTCTTATCATGTGTGGACCAGTCACTGCTCAGAGGCCACCTTGCTGAACCAGCTCCCCTTGGCTCTCATGGGCACTGAGTCTCCTCAGAGGCATCCACATCTCCAGAAGGTTTTTCATCTAACCTCTGCCTGCGGCCTCTGCTGCAGTGGTGATCTCCTGGCAGGCATGCTAGCTCTCAAATCTGAGTTCCCTTGGAGCCTGTGGAAACTTCTGGATTTCCTCTGTGAGAACTTGGAGGAGACAAAGTGTGGCAAAAAGAGCATCCACAAGGGTTTTTATGATTTGTTCTCTGGTGTATCCCAAGACTTCGAACAGTACTTTGTACATTAGTAGTTTAAAAACAATTATTGAGTTGAACGAATGGTTCTCAGGCCATCTCTCCGCCTGATCAGTGCCATGTCACTGTTTCATGCTCACTTTGATTCTCAATTTATCTGGAGTTTCTACTCCCTCCTCTCAGGGTTTCGGACCCAATGTAGGAATGAGGGTGAGTGGACCCCGAGCAGATCTCTCATATGAGTCTAAACTACGTTACTCTCCTCCTCCTTCCCTGCCTGGCACAGGCACAATGTATTTCCATCCTGCCTGATGGAAAACAGCCTTACATCGTATTCTGCTTTCTCCATGCTCCTTGTCTTAGAGTTGATGACCATATGTCCCGGTTTTTGCCTGTGGTGTTCATAGTTTATGCCCATTTTTCCCATGTAAGGAACAGAAGTGCCCCCCTTCACTCTGAAAAATGTCTTGGCTTGAGTGATAAATTTCATGGCCACCCCTATCTTTATTAAACACTTTAATCTCAGGCCTCCAAACTGAGATTCCTTTGTGATTTCAAGTTTAGCTTGCGAGTTCCATCAAAACCCTTTTCCCTCTCAAGTTCCTGGCTCTTGCAATTAAAAATCTTGGCTTTTATGACTATTGTTATAGGGTAGGCATTAAAATGTCTATTTTGAAAAACAAAGATACGTACAATTACTTTTTAATTAGGAGAAATAAAAATGTTTCAGAAAAGTAAAAACAAACATTTAAATATGTCAACAGCATGGCTACCAATCCGTGGAATGATCCTGGGCAGGGACCTGTCCTGGTGTGTAATGGTGGACCTCAGAAGCTCAGGTGATCCCATCACCCAGAATTAAGAACTGTTAACATGTTGTCCTTCTAATGAATTTTAGAAAAGAAATAAAACATTATAGCCAGAGTCATTTTTAACCAATGCAGTCACTTCTTTATTCTAGGCTGCGTCTGCCCTTCTCTGAGGACAGTTTGTAGAAAGCTATAGCTCTTATTTGATTAGAGGAGAGTGCATTAAGCGTTGATAATTTATAAAAAATATTTTAAAATAAAAACATTAACCAAATGCATAGGCTACCAACGAATATTGTTTTCCTTTCCAAATCTGTATGGTAACCCTGCTCATCTTATTCCCACTGGAAGCTCTGTTTGGCAATGTGCATGACATTGATTAATAAAAATGAAAGGGCATGTTAGTCGTCAAATCATTTGGTAGAAAAATTATAATTAACCTTAATTAAAACATGTAATTTGATAGGCAAGCTCTTTTAACATAAAGGATCCATGGAATAAACCATTAAATACGGGGTTTCACAGGTTTTTTTAAAAGAGGCTGGGCATCCCATCCGTATAGAGCATGGCATCACTGACTGAATTTCACTAGCGTGTTTACTTTCAGACATTTTTCTGGTAGTAGTGAGGATTTGCCTGGAGGCATTCAGACCCCCTCTAGTTTGTTGTATAACAAATTGTTTTCCCAGGGTGGTTGACTTGGATTAGGGTAGGGAATGGATTACATGTATTACTTTGGCCTAATTAGAAACACAGGCTCACCAGTAGATCCAGGAGGCAGCCCAACTCTGCGTTAGGGGACAGGCAGTGACCACTGAGAGCTGATTAAAGTGACCAGTCCTTCCCATAGTCGTTGTTACTATGGCTTCCTAAACATTTCCCCCTCATATCACAATGATCCTTGACTAAGAAGCATGGCTTGACTCTGAGGGTACCTGTGTGTTTAAGAGAACAGAATCTTCAAGAGGATGTGGAGGTGCAGTGAGGGTTGGACCATAAGGGCCACCCTCACATTATTACCATCTTTCTCTCTTTCTTCTGTAATTCTTGAGTTTAAGCCTCTTCCAATCTCTCTTCCTTTCCACCTCCCTCCACATCCACAGATGGGGTGGCTGCGTTCCGTGCCTTCTTGAAGACGGAGTTCAGCGAGGAGAACCTGGAGTTCTGGTTGGCCTGTGAGGAGTTCAAGAAGACCAGGTCAACCACAAAACTGGTCTCCAAGGCCCATAGGATCTTCGAGGAGTTTGTGGACGTCCAGGCTCCGAGGGAGGTGTGTTGGCGGTAGCGAGCATCTTGTCAGACCTCTATCCATGGCTCCTGGCTCACATCTCTCTATTCATGGGGGTTTGAGCCAGGCTTGATGGGGACTTTCTTCTGAACTGAGCCTCACTGCTCTGATGGCTCTTGATGAAAAAGGGATCACTTTTAAGGTGCAGAGCCCAAGGCTTCTATACAAGGAGCTCTATTAGGGGTGTTATAGCTGTCTGTCAGTTAAAGTGCCAGCAGGAACTATGTTTTTATAGGGATTCTGCAAGGATAGATGCCACTGAAATCCAAGTTCATTTTCCTAGCGGAAGGCAGCATGGCTTAGTGGAACAAGCATCCATTTTGGAATCTTGTTCCAATCTCAGCTCCACCACTTACTAGTTGTGTGGTCTTAGTCAAGTCACCTAGCCTCTTTGAATCACATTTTCCCCAGTGTAAAAGGGTATACTATCACCTACCGTTCAAGACTACTCTGAATATTAGGGACAAAGCACCTATTCAGTATTTGTCACTGTTTATTAATGAGTAATTACAGCCATTTATATTATTTTAAGATAATTTATTATAATTATTTATAATAATAAAATGAATTTCTGTGTACTGCTGTTCTGAGTTATAAGACAGAATTTTACTTAGGAGGCTTTTATAGAAGAAAGATACTTGCTGTCTACGAGTTTAGGTGCACTACATACCTAGAACTGTCCAATTACACTTGGCTTGAGGCAGGAGGTCTTTAGCCAGTGGCCAGGGTGCTGTCGGTGCCTTATAATGCTGGTTGGAACAGGGATGTACCTTTTAACCATAATCTCTCTCCCCAGGGCATTTATTTCCTTAGCAGTTAATAAAGGCCAAGCAGGCAAGCTTACTTTAGGGAACCCACTTTAATACTTGTCTCCACTCTAACTCTTTGCCTGCCATTGTGAAGACCCCTGGATTACAGGTTAAGTGCTCTGTGGTTTCGTCTTGGCTCTGTTACTAACATTCCATACAACTTTAGACTAGCTTTTTAGTATCTCTTTTCTTTGATGTCCTTATCTATAAATTGGGATAAAGAATATCTGGTCTTCAGACCTCACAGGATTCTTGCTGGGATGAAAAGGGATGAGCTCCATAAAAGCAGTTTGAAAAGCATGAATTACCTTACATATATAAGATGCTGTCGTTAATAGTTATTACATAGCTAGGACCAGCTGCCAGGTGCCTGGGCCCTTGAGGGCCTGTGACCATGTTCTCTGTTTGCGTCTCCAGGTAAACATAGACTTCCAGACCCGAGAAGCCACGAGGAAGAACATGCAAGAGCCATCTCTGACTTGCTTTGACCAAGCCCAGGGAAAAGTACACAGCCTCATGGAGAAAGACTCTTACCCCAGGTTCCTGAGGTCCAAAATGTACTTAGATTTGCTGTCCCAAAACCAGAGGAGGCTCAGTTAGACCTCAGATGGGGACTCCTGGAGATCACTGGCTTTCCCCTCCCCTTGCTGCCAAGACCATATTCTAATGTGAAATGTCGTAGGTGTTCAAAAGCAGTGGCATTTAGGTTGGGAGGCTGGGGGTGAGGAAGGGATGAAAGGCCATTCCAAAGTATAATCCAGCCACAGAGCTCGGACTCTCCTCCATTTACCATGTTTGTGTTTCGGTTAGTGGTAGCACCCTGTCGCTGTCACCCTTCTCTGGGGCAGCAACTTGCCCTCCATAATGCCTTGGGTCGTCTCCACTGAGAAGGCAGATTCGCTATGCTGGGCTAATCTGTAAATAATGCAAATGCGATTTCCACCACTTCCATACCCTCCTCAGTTAGGATTCCTGCCTTCTAACTTGTCCTATACCCCTGTGAGGAATAGCTAGAAGACTCTGGCTCACATTTGTGATTGCTGTCACAATGTAATGGCCAGTCCCGGTGCTGGGACCTCACAATTTAGGAAAGAGGTCTCTGTGGAATCCCAGGTTTCTGGCACTGTCATTCCCAGGTGGCCTCTGGGAAAAGGGGCAAACTCCATGGAGTTCGCTGTTTCTTCCATTTCCACAGGACCAGTGTGAAAGCTGTGATCACTGCCCATTTTAGCCTAGGAAATTCACACGACTCCCATACCCTTGCAATTCCAGAAAGGATCTTGGGAGATGTCCTTCATGAATTCTGATGGAGCTGCTATTAAGAAAGATACAGCTTGCAAATCTTCCTCAATTCTACCAAGAAGTTTTCCGGAAGTCGAATGACCAGGGAATGTAGTACCAGTAGACTTTTGTGCAATGGGGCACCATGTAACCTTTCTGTTGCTTAATGTATTCTCTGCCCTCACCTCCCTGTGGCATCACGCATCACTGATCTCTTAGAATGACAGACAGCTTGGCAAAGGGAGATGAATTCCCATAGCATGGACAGCTCTCGTGGTGCCTAATACTTTCCCTGTCTCTCCTCCTTCCCCCGCCATGCAGGTCATGTAGTTATGATGGGGGAGAATGGGAACTTAGGCTGTAACTCTCTTTCCAGCTTGCTTCCTGGGAGCATGCTTTCTTAGAAAGGTCCCTCTCATGAGGGCGATTTTGGCTATTCAGCAGCTTCCTTCTTGATCTCTGACCTTTTGAGATTGAACATGGAACAGGAGGTGAGGCTAAGAAGATCACTGTGAACATCTGGTTGTGGAGAACCTTCCCAAAATGCTTTCGTGGTATCCTGGGTCTGCTCTTGGAAATGTGTCAGGAAATTTTCCTTGGAGGTTGGGTGAGATGCACAGAACCTACTCTAGCGGCCCAGGGAAAAGCTGACTTTGGCGCAAGATTGCAGTGCCAAGAAGGTGAATCCTCAACAGAGAGAGCAGGAGGTGGAAGAGGAGCCTGGAAGAGGCTGGTCTCCAGGTGGACTGAATCACAGAGAACATGGTGGAGGTATTATTGGATAATTCACAGCTGATGGATCTGGATTCACTGCAGATCTCAAAAACTTTCAGCTTGACTAAATGAACAGCACCCAAATGATTAGGTGTAAGCTCTGGAGCACAGATGATTGAGAACTGGGCTGAAGCGTTCTCCTCTGGTGGGGTGATGGGCCTTTTTAGATATTCGGGGGTTCCAGTATTTGCATTCCTATCCAGTAACTTCGTGAATCTCTTCCTTCCTTGGCTACAGCTAGACAAGGCCAAGAAGGCTCTTGAGTCCCACTGGTGTTGGGGTCCACTGCCCTGCCATGGCACATGGTATCGATGACCGAGAGTTAGTGTGTCTGTGTGAACCGTCAAGAAGAGAGAGAACACATGCCTCCTAGCCCTCACCCTGAAGAGACCTGTGCCATTGCATGTTCAAGGACTCTGAAGCCTCAAACGGGTGTTCCTAGTTAGATCAGGTAGTATTCCCCTTCCCCTATTGGTAAAAAACCGTCTTTAGCTAAAGCTGCCAGAATTAATTTAATGATCAAATTTTCGAACAGGGTATTTTAAACATTGTTTACATACGAAATGTGCATCTGCTGCCAACTCTACTGTCGAAATTGAGGTGCATATAAATTGGAACAGCACAGAGTTATGGAAATATGAAACATTCTAAGAGGGGCCTTTTTACCACTTCCACTATCCCCAGAAGAAAAGTCTGAACAGGAGTGTTGTGCAGTGGCCTCATTTGGGGCCTGGAGTTCTTGCCAACTATTGGTGGAATGAAGGCTGCAGATGGTGGTGTCATGGTGCCTGGTGACTTCCTCCCACGATGGGGAGGTGTGAAGGACCAAGCTTGGGCATCCTGAATTTTGCCGCTAGGCGAGGGTCTGTGGGCGTCTGTCTGTGTATAGAGTAACGTGATAGCTATATTTATGGTACTCCCTTGGAGTGTCTGTGTGTGCATGTATGTGTGTGTGACAGTTGTGAGCATTAGACTAGTACACCACAGAGATGATCTCCCCCAGGGGTGGAGCTTTCCTCACACCCCTTATGTCCTGCTTCCCACAAAAGGCACTGAGCTCTCTGCTCTGGTGCCTACCTTCAGGCACTTTGGTCATGCCAACCCAGATTTTGGTCTGTGATGAAACAAAGAGAAATGTTTACAACATCTAGAGCAATATCCAAGCATACCTCATCCCTGACCTTCCACATCTCCCAGTCCTGCCCTCTCTCCCATTTCCCCTTCCACAAGCCCTCATCCGCCTTGTTAGGTGGGCACCCACAGCTGTCACTTCTTCCATTTAACGTCTTCCTTTGCTCCTCGTGCCGGGCTTGTGCTGTGGATTCCTTCTGGGCTCAAGGCTTGCTTTGTGCCTGGGATCTTTGAAGCCCCAAGGCAAGCCAGGGCGGTAGGCCAGCAGAGCTGTGACTTTTAGGACTGCTTTCCATCCCCCAGTGGCCTTTCAGCCCCGCTGAGCGTTAGCCTGTTTCTGGGCTGGTGTGAGATTTCCTGTTGCCCTTGGCAAACCAAACAACACAATCAATGACAACCATTCACAGGCCCGGCACCTCTAGGGTGAGGAAGGATCCTCTGAGCAGGATTTGTTATTAAACTTGAGCATGCCCGGGGATCACCCAGAAAGCCTGTTACACGTGCAAATTCCCAGGTTCCACACCCAGAGATCCTGATCCAATGGACCTGGGATGGGACCCAGAAATCTGCGTTTTTAATAAGCTCCTGGGTGCATAGTGCCCCGTAGGATAGTGCTTTGAAAAAAGACAAAGACAGTGGCTCTCATCCACGGCTGCTCATTGGAATCACCTGGGAAGTTTTAAAAACCAAACGTCCAGGTCCCAGAACAACTTGGGCTTGAGACCCAAGGCATCAGTTTATAAAGTTCCCCAGGTGATTCCAATGTGCAGATGAGGTTGGGAAGCACGGCCTGAGGAGTGAGGAGGAACAGAGCTAAGCTGAAAACACAGACGTGTGGGCCAAGAGGGCTGGGGCTGCCCAGACGCAAACAAGCACAATGACCAGGAACCTGCCAGCCCTGAGTTTGTCTCTTGGGGTGGCTGCCTCTGTGGCCTCTGGGTCCTACCTGCTCCTTTGAGATAAAAATGTTTCTGCCTCGCTACACGCGTTGTTAGGCAGCAGGTATGCCAACAGTGGGGGCTGAAGGGGTACTTGGGTGAGAGAGGTTTGGCCGTGCCTCCTGGGTCTCGTTCACAGGGCTTCCTCCAAGCTTGCCTCCTGGGCTGTTTGGCCTGTCTATTTGTTTTCATTCACTCTTGTGTTTGGCCATTTTGTGTTACAGGCTGTGCCTCTGCACCCAAGGCCATGAGACATGGTAGTTGGAACTCAGGTAGTAGGTGAAGTGTGTGTGGTCATAATGATAGTGGTAGCACAACTTCCAAATTTCTTAATGGAAGGTGTCACGTCCTGGGAATATCGAACTCTCTCAGGCTTTCTTTTCCAAGGCCACAGTGGGGTTTCGGTTGCTCCTCTAGGCTCTCATCAGTCCCTCTTTGGTCTCAGGCTAGAGGGGCAGCTGGAAAGTTCCGAGTTGATTTTACTCTCTGGTGCTCTCCCCAGAACTTGCTGCTCTGAATCAACCAAAGCTGTGAAACGGCGTTGTGCCCAAGCTTCAGGCCCAGCCTCTGGGTGCAGGCCCTGGGCGCTTCTCCTCGGCAGGGCTGGGGGGGTCTGTGTACTCCTGGCCCTGGACTGTGAGAGAAAGGCATGAACCCACTGTGCTGAGACATGGGGGAGGGTGGGAATGGGGAAGACTGAAGAGGAAGGAGCGGCGCGGGAAGACAAGCAGCTAATGTGGTGTCTGCTTCTCCATGAACCAGAAGGGAGAGGTGGTGAGTGGCACATTCAGAGACAGGATGCTTTCCCGTCAAGACTGCCCGGCACTCTCCTGACCCTGTCCATGCCCACTTCCAAGCAAGGCAGAGGAATTATGATTTTCTGTCCAACGCTGTCCTTCAATCGGCCAAGCGTCAGCCCTCTTTAAATCTGCATCCCTCCGGGTTAGAAGCAAGAGAGTGGCATTGAGAGCCTGTGCCACTGTGCCATATGGTATGAGATTGTGGAGGAAGAACCCAAGAGCAGAGATGTCTTCTTGTCCCTGTGGCCTCTCAGGACTCCACAAGATGCTATGGACCAAGATGGGAGACTGCAGGATGGGGCCCCTGGCCTTCCCAGCCTTGGGGCCCGGGTCCTCTCAATAAACTGTTCCCTTTTTGATTTTTACTCCCTTTGCCCTTTCTGCTCCCTCCCCTCTGCCAGGTGTGGACAAGGCGTCTAGGCTCAGCGTGTGCTCTAACCGTGGTGGCATCAGCTGAGTCCTGCGGCGAGCACAACAGATTTGTAGCAGCTCATCTGCCATATAAACTGCTTGGCTGATGGAGTCCTCATTGAGTTGTTTCATTACTGTGCAAAGTGGAATAATGTCATTCACCTTTACTCTAAACAAGGCTGTGAGAACATAATAAACAGAACCTGAACACGCTGCCCTTCGCTCTCTGCCCACATTTCTGGCCAGCTGACTCTTTATGAGGAAACGCTTCACACAACACATGGACTCCCCGGGGGGTGGGGTGGGCGGCACGTGGCCTCACCCCGGCAGAGGCTGGCACGGGGCTGGACAGCAGGAAAAGCAGCCATGTGGGTGGAAATGGAATGGGAATGGTCGGGATGAGTGAGGGGGTGGAGAGTGATTTTGGGTTATGAGAGTGGCTTTGAAACTATAAAGTGCTATGCAAACACGAGGTGGTGTTTTTATTAGTACCACTTACTGCTTGAAAATGCAGGGAGAGAAAAGGCTGAGGGATGGTTTGTATATTTTTTCAGCTGGAGCAGTCTGAAAATGGAGTGGGTTGATCTTGCTTACGACTGTACCTCACTTTATACAATGGAATCTTTGAGTGTCTCTGGTGATCAGGCCCCGTGGAGGGGACCAAAGGAGAATGAGGTGTAGTATCTGCTGGCAAAAGCTCATGTTTCAGGTGTGGTGATAAGATAGAGATATACAAAATATTAATAATCCAAATAATTAAAATGCACCAGAGAAGATCTGTCTTTAAAGGAAAGCTGATGTTTCTTCAAAGGTGAATGCTTTGGGTTAAATAAAAAAGCCTTTTGTAATGTAAATGATCCCCCCCCATTCCACTTTTGTAGGGTGGGCAATGAGGGGTGGCAGCCTGGGCTGCTGCAGACAGGAGGCCTGTCCTTGGGGAGGGGATGTGATTGGTTCTTCCTTCCAGCTTTGCTCTTTCTACCGTTTCTGCTCCCGTTGCCACCTGGGGTCTCTTCCAGGACCGAGGAGAGCAGGGAAGGAGGAGCGATAAGGGAGCAAGGCGGTCTCCTGGCACACATGCCTTCTGGGATAGGCCTCGGGCTCCTTGGGCCTGGGAGGACTCTGGTGGGTCCTTCCTGGGTTCATTGGAGACCCGTCTCTGGGGAATCCTCACCCCACCCCCAGATCTCCCAACCAGCTTTCCTACTGGTGGCTTGCTCCTTCCTGGACACTGCTCCAGCTTCTCTTTGCTGCAGTCTGTTTGCTCCTCCAGGAACCCCTCTTGGACAGCTCCTCAGATGACCCCATGCCAGTCTCTTTCTCTCAGAGGCCCACAACTGGCCCACTGGGAGCACTTGGGCCCGATCTGCCTCTAGAATTACAAGGCAGCAACTGCTCTGCCCTTGCTCTGCAACCAGAGCCCCCAGCCAGCCCACTGCTCACATTTTCAATTTTCCAGGTTGGAGGCAGGTCAAGCATCAGGGGTCACATATCAGGCTCTCCCAGGCACTCCCGCACCCACTCTCCCTGAGGGTGAGGTGAGAGGCAGGTGTTCAGCCCCCTGTGAGTGGGATGGCACTCACACTACACTAACAGCTCTCTCCAAAAACCTTCACACGTTCTCTCCAGCCCTTGACCTTTTTCTCTCTGGGACTGGCTTTAGGTGCCCCTCACTGGTTCTCCACTCCCTCCCTGCAGTGTTCGCTTGGTCTGGAACCCTTTGGATCTGAGATCTATCTCCTAGACCTTGACAGAAGCATCTTACAGATGGAAAACACTTAACACTATGCCGGGCATCTCATTAACATGCAGTAAATGCGGAAAAAAACAAATAAAGCCCCCTCTGGTCCTACTGTCTACATCCACAAAGTGAGAGCCAGGGCCAGAGAAGTCGTTGAGATAACTCCCTCCTGCGGATACACTTCCTACTTGGGCTCTGTCCTTGTCTCCATCCAGGGTGTGTGGGACAATGCCCTCCTGAAGGCTGGAAGGAAAGGGTGGGGCTCCATAACAGGTGCTGCCTCCCTGGTCCACGCCCCATCCCACAGCATAGAGAGGAGTCCGAG